CCCTAATCACCCGATAAAGCCATCAGGTATACTCATGCTGTCCGTCTCCGGCCATCATCCACCATACCTTCGTCCCGCCACCTCCTTCTGCACCAAAGAGGTATGCTTAATCTGATGCTCTCTGTGAATCACGAAGGCTCACCTCACCGGTAGTCTTCGCTGATGAGTTGCAGTCTTCAGACGGAGGCTCACCTCACCGGTAGCCCAACCTTTGACATGGATTGTGTACATATTCTGGACTCTATTTTCGGTATATGGATACATTTGTGAACTATAATATTCGTTTACTCGGTTGTTTACTTTGGTTTTCATTGACTTGTTGAAATACATGCTTCTAATAATCATGATTTTTTGAAAAAATAAAAATAAAAATGTCAAGATTGGGATTATGCGGTGCAGATCTGTCAACATATGAGTTATGTATGAATTTTATTTTATATATGCAAAAAATTAACGGATTTGATATATATTATCGGTAAACTAAACGTGAATCACATAAGTGAGTCTTCTATACTTAAATCTCTTGGAAATGAGACTCGCAGTCCCTCTGTCACGCATCTTCCCTCCTACAAACACTACAAACACTTTAAGTGAATGTAAACATGTGCACATTCAGTCATAATTTCAATGTTGACGCACATTTTGTTAAACTAATTCAAAAATAATTTCGATTCTTTCACGTGATCGAACTGTTATTTAATATGTATTCCATTTTTAATTTTTCTGAAAATATAAGCTTATTCAACATATACACATGGATTATACGGAGTATATATGAATCCTCATATACCCATAAATCACAGACAAATCACAGACAGAAAAAACAGTTTGTAAAGCAGTCATTGTCTTGTGAAATCCAAATCCTGAACTGATATCATATGACTTTGATTATATCTCTCTGTATATCATTTTTGTTTTATCAAACCACTTGGATGCGGTATTTTGTTAAAGGAGTGAAAATATGTACACTTTTGGTCATAATTTCAATGTTATCATTAATTCTATTCAACCTGAACTGTTATAAACTTTTACAGTTATTGAACTGGTATTTAATACTTAAGAGTTTAACCTATAAAAAATGCCTTATCAGTATAAGTATTTTAAAAATACCGTAAGTGTAACTAATTTAATATATACCTATTTTAATAAGTATTGAAATGTTATTTAATATATGTATTTATAACTATTTTAATTCAGCTTCATACATACGGAGTATATGGAAGAATGCTTAGTTGATTGTCATTGGCTTGTTGCCCATCTTTTATTGCCAAAAAATCATTTGAAGAGGCATGTGATACTAACTTTGTATACTTATACCCAAAATACAAAACTTGTTGCTCGTTCCGGCATCTCATAGTAAAACTCTCTTAAACCAAAATTAGCATGGTCGGTGCTTATTAGTTATTTTAACCCCTAACTCAGGCTCTGCCAGATTCCCAGCCACCCCCACAATGAGCTGTGGATCTGTGTGGTTTAGCAGCCTGCTGGCCAGATAAGCTGAAACCATAGTTACCATGTATGTGATTTATAATAAACACAGAATCGTTTCAGAGATGCTCTGGTTTGATATTTTGTTTGTAGCTCTTGTATGACAATTGACAACTGTGTTAATGCACTTAAGTCTAGAAGTACTTGGGATTGCAAAGTTGAGCAATGACCATTGGTAAGTAGACCCTCTATCATGTAATGATGATACTGCACTGTATTTCACTTTTACTAAATGTTAGCAGTGTGGCCATCCATACATTATTGACTTTGGATCCATAATCAACCAACAAAATTCATTTATTGGTATGTAGCAAAACCACCTTGACTCAATTATAATGAGAACTTGTCATAATTAGTTTTTTTGGTATAAATAAAAGTAGTTACAAAAGTTCTCTTTACGTTTTAACTATAATTGTTTCATTAATTAAAGCTGAACTAAAAGTAAAGTTAGTATTTATCAACATATTTTTTAACCATATAGTATGGCCTTTGGTCTGGATATACAGGGCCAATATCAAACATGTTCAACTAACGTATTATATTCATTTACTAAAAAAACTGTATAATATTCATGTTAAATATCTATATATATTTTGAAAAGTAATGATTTATTTATTCAGAGCAGTTCTGATTTTTTAAAATAGGTGTTGCCAAGTTGCTCCCTCATAACTTGACTAAATAATGTATTATGACTTACTTTACTCATTGTAATTTCATTCACTTTCAATTTTTAGAGATTAATGATCTTACAGTTGAACAGACATCAATACTTGTTTTTATTATGGTTCTTGAATATTATTTGATATACGATTATTTGATTTTAAAAATATACTCCGTATGTATTTTAAACAATAAAATATTTGAAGTTTGTAATTTAAATAGAGACGTATATTTTTTATTTCCCTAATTAAATGTACGTTCTATGTAACTCAAAAAATTTCTACAACTCAAAAATTCATTTTTTTTATACATAATAAGAGTTTGACAAAAAGTATCATTGTTTTATGGGAGATTTCCCAAAATAGGAGTAAATGAAGTTTGAAATTCCAAAAGAGGACTACTTTGTTTTTATTCCCGAAATGTGACTAACATGACAGGATTTACTGTCATCTTGTAGCGGTGACTGTCAAATAGTTGCAGTACAGTGCATTTAACATGACAATATTTATTATAATTAATGACAGTATTTTTCAATCATGACAGTATTTTTCATACATGACAGTAATAACTCCTATTTCGGGAAGAAAAACATACTAGTCCTGTTTTTGGAATTCTAAGTGTCATTTGCTCCTATTTTGGGTAATTTCTCTTGTTTTATTCATTTTCAGCTTGAGTTTTATAAAATTAATACTACTATTATGTCATTTGAAAATTAATTTACACATATTTTCTAAGTATATAAGCATCAACATGTTTATAGTGACTCCAATGTTTTGATCACTTTATAACGAAAGTTACAACGAAAGATCTTCCATTTACACTATTCGCAATTTACACTATTACCAAAAATAATTTTACAAAATATTTGTTTTGTTTAAAATTAAAAGTATGTTAAGCTATGTATGTGTGGAAAAGATTGTAGCTGCTATGCCCTCGTAATAATGTTACTTGTATGAGTCTACTGGTAAACCAAATTATATTCCAAAAAAATCTACCCTCATCATTTTGTATTTGAGCTTCTCCACTGTTCCTTTCATTGAATGATGATTATGCTTCACATGATATCTTACTTGATGTTCCTAAATAAACTTTTAATTTTCTTTTTTCATCCGTTCCAATTAAATTTTCACTTTCTTTTTTTGGTAAATAATATGTGGTTCACAACATTTCTTACACATTTCTCTCTCATCTGCACAACTCTCCACCACACAATACCCACTTTTCTTAAATTGTGTGACAAAGTGGATTGGAAGATAAACTAGGAACGGAGGTAGTACTAAACAGTTAGAAACCGAACACTGACTGTAATAAGAAGAGATTACATAAGTCGGGTCTCACCAGCGAGTATATTTTCATTGATTAACCATTGTTGCTCAAATGCATCCTCCCTGTAAATTCAATGAATAAAAGCATTATAAAGACACCAAAAACACATCCAATATCTGCTTTTTTTGAAAAAGAGTCACTATGGAATGCTAAGAACTTGGAGATCACTATGGAATGCTAAGAACTTGAATGGATCGTACGACCTTTCTTGTCAATGCTCGTGTTTCTCTGTGGTGGTGTGATAAATGCTTGGAATGTGCATCAGCAATTATCCAATGGTTAATAATGTGTAATGTCTTGTGAAATGAAGTCTGATTGGACAGCACGTTGCAGTCTATTCCACAATCCTTGCTTGTTGTGGTTGAGTAAAGATGCTCAAATTGAATTAAATGCTCCTTTGACTTGATGGTGTACTTCGTTCTAGCATCTTATGCTCCTACCCTCTTTAATTTAAATATATATTCTACTGCCTCCGTCGCTTAATTCTTTGACAAAGTTGATCGGCGCGGAGAATAATAAAGTAAAAATTGTGTGATTGAGATTTGTGCAGAGGAGAGAGAAATAACAGAAACCACAAAATAATTGATTAAAAGGGGTGACCATCTTGTGATGAACCGAATACTGATAATTACTCGGATTCGACGGCCAAACAAACGCCCGCCGCTTATGGATTTTAGCCTTCCTGCACCAGAGATCCTTTTCCGACCCGAAAGGGTCATACCCCTAGAATAATGGTTGAACCGGCAAAGGATTCAACGCCCAACTAACCCAGACTCCTCTTCACTTACCGCCAACATACCAAGGTTGTGAGCTCTATTCGCTCCGGTGCTATCGCCGGCGATGTAAAAGATGTTGGAAATATGATGAAATATATAATTTTGAGGGTCTCGTTTTCGAACCCTATGACATCAATTGTGTAAAATATGAATTGGAGAAGGCTTAAATACATCAAAGAACAATTTACATATTTGGATATATTTCATTTAATGACTAGAATCCATAGTTGTAAAGTTGTTAAGTGATGTACTAATAAATTGAATGTAATTGTCCAATTAAAAAAATTAGTAGTCTCATCATGATTAATTAATTATTTGTATATGACAAGGAACATTATAGTGTTCAAGTTTCATATAAAGTGACATGATATATTTTTCCAAACATATACGTGAAAAGACGGATTATGATTGGTTTAATTATCACAAGTCAAGAGACTATTTAATTGGGTGGACAACAATTCTGTGGTTGCTATACACCTGCTTTGTTTTTATTTTTAATAATAAAAACTACCCGCCTAGTGGAACAAGTCATAGCTTTTTATTTTTAATAATAAAAACTACCCGCCTAGTGGAAATCCAAATGTTAAAATTGAATTTAAAATTCAATTTGATTAAGCCTGGTCAACTAATTGTTGAGGGATCCTAAAGACTTGGGATCGTGGCTTTTATTTCGGTTAGTTTGGCCGGCCACTTCTCTCCATTTTTCTTTTAAAATAAAATATATATCTGATTTCCAAATGAAGAATCCCACGGCACAAAACCAATTCTAGCGTACAAAAGCTCTTCATTCTTGCTCTTAGAAAACCACCCATACAAACAAAACTACGTGGGATACTCTCTGTATCTCCACTTTAAAAAATTCTTCCACTTCATTTTTTTTCTTTGAGCAGCCATAGTGACATAAGATACCGAGCATATCTATATGTACTATATTCTTCTCCTGTTGTGAGCTCTTCTCTAGTCAACGGCAATTCGGGCAACGGTCGAAGGTTTCAGTCAAGGTAGCTACAAGTCTGAAACGGTGTAGGATTATCCTGGGAGCGAGTTGGCCAGTCTCGTTCGAGTAGCTATCGAGATACGGGGGCTATCTTTCTTCAAGGTTAGTCCGGTCAATGGGCGATCTTACGCTAAGTTTTTCATCTTTTGCTTTTTCCATTATTTTATTTCTAATTATTATTATTTCTTTATCTGTTCTTGCATTTGGTGGTTTGTCTGGTGATTTGTGATTAAACTCGGGATTTTATCTGACTAAACTCGCTTTATTAATACTATTTTTCTAACAATCTTGAAGAAAGATAATATTTCTCGAGTTTTGAAAATCCAATATGACGAACTTGGAAAATGCTGCTACTTCCGAAAATGTTGTTGTTGAGAATAATGTGAATGAAATCCCTGAAAATAATGTTAATTCTGTGTCTGTGACTAATTCTGAAGACACACCTGAATTTGTTGCCACGGGCTCTCACAGGGTTGATTTGACCGGAATGCCTGAAAAATTTTCTGGTCATTTTTTCAAGCGTTGGCAACAATGCATGAAAATTTGGTTAATCACCAAGGGATTGCTCTCGGTAATTATGACAGTGTGTCCCCCCGTTGTTGAGTCTGATCCCAAGAGTCTTGAACGCCAATCTTTATGGCGTGAGAGGAATGAAATAGCCAAAGGAATGATATTGTTGGGACTCTCCGACATGTTATTTGATGTCTATTGCACCCTCCACGACACGGCTAAAGACCTTTGGGATGAGCTGGATAGGAAATATAATACTGATGACCACGGTCTCGAAAAGTATATTGTTTCCAAATTCTTGAGATTCGACATGAAGGAGGGAAAATCTGTTTTAGAACAAACACAAGAATTTGAGCTTATCTTACATTCTCTCCGTGAAGCAGATATGGAATTGCCTGAAAAATTTAAAGTCATGGCTGTAATTGAAAAATTCCCCAAATCGTGGGAAGATTTTGGTTTGACTTTAAAACACAAAATGAAAAAGATAACTTGGAAATCTTTGATGCATTCCATTACTGTTGAGGAAGAACATAAGAAAGCGGGTTACATTGTTCCTGTTGAATTTCAGCCAAAGGCTCATGTTGTAACCGTGGGAAAGCAGTCACAAAATTCTAAGAATAAACAACCATCATCTTTTAAACCAATAAAGGCCAAATTAAAAATTGCAAAGAAACCAAAGGCAAACCGTCCATGCTGGAACTGTGGACAGATGGGGCATTGGGCCAAATTATGCCCAAATAAAAAGGCTAAGGCTCAATCCGGTGGACCTCAAGTCAACATGGTGACTGGAGGAACTAGTTCTGATGGGTATGTTTCTTTTAACCCTCAAGTTTTCACTATTTATAATTCCAATGAGTGGCTAATAGATACAGGAGCGAATGTGCATGTATGTGCTGATAAATCGCTCTTTGTTTCTTATCAGTCAGCGGTTGGAAGAACAGTGATGATGGGAAACACAAGTGCTGCTAGTGTGCATGGAGTTGGAAAAGTGGAAATAAAATTTCCTTCGGGAAAAATTCTATCTTTGCATGGGGTGCATCATGTTCCCGAAATTAGAAGGAACATTGTTAGTGGTTCCATTCTTGTAAGGGAGGGTTATGAATTGTCTTTTAAATTAAATAAAGTTGTAATTTTATTTGGTGGAACTTTTATTGGCAAGGGTTACTTGTCAGATGGACTTTTTAAGATTGTGGTTGATTATTATGAATTAAATTATGTATCTGAGAATTGTGATTCTTCAACTTTATGGCATTATCGTTTGAGTCACGTTAATTTAGATTCTGTGAAAAGAATGATGAATTTAAATTTAATTCCTAAACACTCAATTGATAAAACTAAGAAATGTATGGTATGTGCTACTACAAAACAAGTAAGAAACCTTATCATTCAATTGATAGAAATTCAGAATTACTTGATTTAATTCATACCGACATTTGTGAGTTTAATGGAGTGCTAACTCGTGACAAAAAGAAATACTTTATCACTTTTATTGACGATTATTCTAAATACTGTTATGTGTATCTACTTAAGGATAAAGATGAAGCTCTTAAAAAATTCTTAATTTTTAAGAATGAAATAGAGAATCAAACTGGCAAGAAAATTAAAAGGTTAAGATCTGATAGGGGAGGAGAGTACACCTCTAATTTAGTTGTACTAGAATGCCAAAAATATGGTATAGTACATGAAGAAACACCTCCTTATTCACCGCAATCAAATGGAGTAGCTGAACGGAAAAATAGAACTTTTAAAGATATGATTAACAGTTTATTAGAGAACTCTGGATTACCTAAGTTTATGTGGGGGAAGCCTTGAATACGGCCTGCCATATTTTGAACAGGATTCCCATGAAACATAAAGACAAGTGTCCATTTGAACTCTTGAGAGGCAGAAAACCAAGTTTAAAATATTTTAAAGTGTGGGGCTGTCTTGCAAAAGTATTAGTCCCTGAACACAAAAGAAAGAAACTTGGGCCTAAAACTGTTGATGCTATTTTTATTGGTTATGTTGAACATTCTTATGCATTGAGATTTTTGGTTATTAAATCTGAAATTTCTGGCATAGATGTTAATACTATTATAGAACTTCGTGATGCTACTTTCTTTGAAAATGTTTTTCCAATGAAAACGGGTGTGCCCCAAAATATTTCTTTTAAAAATCAAGAAACCACATTTAATTCAATTCCTGATCAAGTGAAAAAGATGACAAATGTGGGGGTAGAATCTAGTAGTACTAGTCACGCTAGTTTTGAATCAAATGAACTAGATGAGCCCCGAAGGAGCAAACGGGCTAGGATCACTAAGGAATTTGGAAGTGATTTTATCACTTACAATATTGAGGGTGATCCAGTTTCCTTTAGAGATGCAATGGCTACATCTGAAGCCATGCATTGGAAGGATGCCATTAAAAGTGAAATGGACTCTATTGTTCAAAATGGAACATGGGAGCTCGTTGATCTTCCTCCGGGGTGCACTACTATTGGATGTAAATGGATTTTTAAGAAGAAATTAAAACCGGATGGAACCATTGATAAATATAAGGCCAGATTAGTTGCTAAGGGTTACAAACAAAAAGAAGGTATTGATTTTTTCGATACATATGCTCCGGTCGCAAGGATGACCACAATAAGAATGCTTATAGCATTGGCCTCCGTATATGATCTTAAAATTCATCAAATGGATGTTAAGACAGCTTTTCTTCATGGTGACCTTGAAGAAGAAATTTATATGGATCAACCTGAGGGATTTGTGGCAAAAGGCAATGAGAGAAAAGTTTGTAAATTAGTTAAGTCTTTATATGGACTTAAGCAAGCCCCTAAGCAATGGAACGAAAAATTTGATAAAATAATTTCTTCGTTTGGATTTACTCTTATAGATGCTGATCAAAGTGTTTATTATAAATGTAAAGCTGATATTAGTATTATTTTATGCCTATATGTTGATGATATATTATTATTTGGCACTAATGATAATATTATTTTTGAGACTAAGTCATTTTTGAAAACAAAGTTTGAAATGAAGGATATGGGGGTGGCTGAAGTAATTCTTGGGCTAAAGTTGACTAGATCAACTGAAGGCATTTCTATTTCTCAGTCGCATTATATTGAAAAAATAATTGAGAAATTTGGATTTAAAAATAGTAGAATTGCTAAAACACCCTATGATCCGTCAGTAGCTTTGTATAAAAATGAAAGTGGTATTCCTGTGTCTCAATTAAGATATTCTCAGATGATTGGTAGCTTGGGTTACTTAGCTAACTGTACTAGACCCGATATTGCATTTTCGGTGTCTAAGTTGAGCCGGTACACTTGTTGTCCAAACATGACTCATTGGGAGGCCTTAGATAGAGTATTTAGATACTTAAAAGGAACAATTTCCTTGTGTTTGCATTACGGTAAATATCCTCCTGTTCTTGAGGGATATAGTGATGCAAGCTGGATAGCTAAGAATTCCGGAAGTTATGGATGTACCGGCTATGTGTTTACGTTTGGTGGTGGGGCTGTTGCCTGGAAGTCCACTAAACAAACGATACTTTCTCGGTCCACTTTTGAGGCTGAATTATGTGCATTGGATACTACAGGAATTACGGCTGAATGGTTTATGGGACTAATATCTGAGTTACCTATATTCAGCAAATACCTTTCTTTGTTTGCATTGTGATAGTATGAGTACAATTGCAAAAATTAGGAGTACCAAGTATAATCAAAAGACTAGGAGACACATTCAAGTTAGATTAAAAACTATAAGGAAATTTGTGTCTCAAGGGGTATTTGCTGTTGATTTTGTTGGATCCAAAGATAATACAGCAGACCCTTTAACAAAAGGACTTGATTTAAATCAAGTCATAAAATCCAGGTTAGGAATGGGACTGAAACCCAGTAATTATTCAACTACGGTAGCAACCCAACCTATCTGAGTGGAGATCCCATAAAGTAGGTTCAATGTGGTATAAACAAACCGTAGTGTAAATTGTGCATCTCATTAAAATATTTTATGAGTTCTATTCCTTGATAAGCCTGAGAGATGCTGAACTTGCTAAGTAAGTAAGAGTTTAAGACTCTGAATGGGATCGAGCTTTAAAGCAGAGTGTTAGCAATGCACTCTTGGAGATGCCCAACTATGAGAATGTTATTGTGTGGCCGCAATTAGAGAATAAGGGTTAATTCTCGATAACATTCTTGAGACAGGTTCGGGACGCACGGCCGTAAAGCGTCAACCCTATAGATCGTTGCCATTGCCATTAGTGTGTTGCTTTTATCCTACTCCAACACTATCAAGGTTCGAGTTCAAGAACTTAGTTCACTCAGTTCCTGTGGGGGTTAGGGGTAAAAGCTTAGAAGTTGGTTCAAACCGGAAGGTACCATATTCGAAAGCACACTATGTCTTTTAGAGTTGAACTAACAACTATGGATTTGTGGGGGATTGTTGGAAATATGATGAAATATATAATTTTGAGGGTCTCGTTTTCGAACCCTATGACATCAATTGTGTAAAATATGAATTGGAGAAGGCTTAAATACATCAAAGAACAATTTACATATTTGGATATATTTCATTTAATGACTAGAATCCATAGTTGTAAAGTTGTTAAGTGATGTACTAATAAATTGAATGTAATTGTCCAATTAAAAAAATTAGTAGTCTCATCATGATTAATTAATTATTTGTATATGACAAGGAACATTATAGTGTTCAAGTTTCATATAAAGTGACATGATATATTTTTCCAAACATATACGTGAAAAGACGGATTATGATTGGTTTAATTATCACAAGTCAAGAGACTATTTAATTGGGTGGACAACAATTCTGTGGTTGCTATACACCTGCTTTGTTTTTATTTTTAATAATAAAAACTACCCGCCTAGTGGAACAAGTCATAGCTGATCCAAATGTTAAAATTGAATTTAAAATTCAATTTGATTAAGCCTGGTCAACTAATTGTTGAGGGATCCTAAAGACTTGGGATCGTGGCTTTTATTTCGGTTAGTTTGGCCGGCCACTTCTCTCCATTTTTCTTTTAAAATAAAATATATATCTGATTTCCAAATGAAGAATCCCACGGCACAAAACCAATTCTAGCGTACAAAAGCTCTTCATTCTTGCTCTTAGAAAACCACCCATACAAACAAAACTACGTGGGATACTCTCTGTATCTCCACTTTAAAAAATTCTTCCACTTCATTTTTTTTCTTTGAGCAGCCATAGTGACATAAGATACCGAGCATATCTATATGTACTATATTCTTCTCCTGTTGTGAGCTCTTCTCTAGTCAACGGCAATTCGGGCAACGGTCGAAGGTTTCAGTCAAGGTAGCTACAAGTCTGAAACGGTGTAGGATTATCCTGGGAGCGAGTTGGCCAGTCTCGTTCGAGTAGCTATCGAGATACGGGGGCTATCTTTCTTCAAGGTTAGTCCGGTCAATGGGCGATCTTACGCTAAGTTTTTCATCTTTTGCTTTTTCCATTATTTTATTTCTAATTATTATTATTTCTTTATCTGTTCTTGCATTTGGTGGTTTGTCTGGTGATTTGTGATTAAACTCGGGATTTTATCTGACTAAACTCGCTTTATTAATACTATTTTTCTAACAATCTTGAAGAAAGATAATATTTCTCGAGTTTTGAAAATCCAATATGACGAACTTGGAAAATGCTGCTACTTCCGAAAATGTTGTTGTTGAGAATAATGTGAATGAAATCCCTGAAAATAATGTTAATTCTGTGTCTGTGACTAATTCTGAAGACACACCTGAATTTGTTGCCACGGGCTCTCACAGGGTTGATTTGACCGGAATGCCTGAAAAATTTTCTGGTCATTTTTTCAAGCGTTGGCAACAATGCATGAAAATTTGGTTAATCACCAAGGGATTGCTCTCGGTAATTATGACAGTGTGTCCCCCCGTTGTTGAGTCTGATCCCAAGAGTCTTGAACGCCAATCTTTATGGCGTGAGAGGAATGAAATAGCCAAAGGAATGATATTGTTGGGACTCTCCGACATGTTATTTGATGTCTATTGCACCCTCCACGACACGGCTAAAGACCTTTGGGATGAGCTGGATAGGAAATATAATACTGATGACCACGGTCTCGAAAAGTATATTGTTTCCAAATTCTTGAGATTCGACATGAAGGAGGGAAAATCTGTTTTAGAACAAACACAAGAATTTGAGCTTATCTTACATTCTCTCCGTGAAGCAGATATGGAATTGCCTGAAAAATTTAAAGTCATGGCTGTAATTGAAAAATTCCCCAAATCGTGGGAAGATTTTGGTTTGACTTTAAAACACAAAATGAAAAAGATAACTTGGAAATCTTTGATGCATTCCATTACTGTTGAGGAAGAACATAAGAAAGCGGGTTACATTGTTCCTGTTGAATTTCAGCCAAAGGCTCATGTTGTAACCGTGGGAAAGCAGTCACAAAATTCTAAGAATAAACAACCATCATCTTTTAAACCAATAAAGGCCAAATTAAAAATTGCAAAGAAACCAAAGGCAAACCGTCCATGCTGGAACTGTGGACAGATGGGGCATTGGGCCAAATTATGCCCAAATAAAAAGGCTAAGGCTCAATCCGGTGGACCTCAAGTCAACATGGTGACTGGAGGAACTAGTTCTGATGGGTATGTTTCTTTTAACCCTCAAGTTTTCACTATTTATAATTCCAATGAGTGGCTAATAGATACAGGAGCGAATGTGCATGTATGTGCTGATAAATCGCTCTTTGTTTCTTATCAGTCAGCGGTTGGAAGAACAGTGATGATGGGAAACACAAGTGCTGCTAGTGTGCATGGAGTTGGAAAAGTGGAAATAAAATTTCCTTCGGGAAAAATTCTATCTTTGCATGGGGTGCATCATGTTCCCGAAATTAGAAGGAACATTGTTAGTGGTTCCATTCTTGTAAGGGAGGGTTATGAATTGTCTTTTAAATTAAATAAAGTTGTAATTTTATTTGGTGGAACTTTTATTGGCAAGGGTTACTTGTCAGATGGACTTTTTAAGATTGTGGTTGATTATTATGAATTAAATTATGTATCTGAGAATTGTGATTCTTCAACTTTATGGCATTATCGTTTGAGTCACGTTAATTTAGATTCTGTGAAAAGAATGATGAATTTAAATTTAATTCCTAAACACTCAATTGATAAAACTAAGAAATGTATGGTATGTGCTACTACAAAACAAGTAAGAAACCTTATCATTCAATTGATAGAAATTCAGAATTACTTGATTTAATTCATACCGACATTTGTGAGTTTAATGGAGTGCTAACTCGTGACAAAAAGAAATACTTTATCACTTTTATTGACGATTATTCTAAATACTGTTATGTGTATCTACTTAAGGATAAAGATGAAGCTCTTAAAAAATTCTTAATTTTTAAGAATGAAATAGAGAATCAAACTGGCAAGAAAATTAAAAGGTTAAGATCTGATAGGGGAGGAGAGTACACCTCTAATTTAGTTGTACTAGAATGCCAAAAATATGGTATAGTACATGAAGAAACACCTCCTTATTCACCGCAATCAAATGGAGTAGCTGAACGGAAAAATAGAACTTTTAAAGATATGATTAACAGTTTATTAGAGAACTCTGGATTACCTAAGTTTATGTGGGGGAAGCCTTGAATACGGCCTGCCATATTTTGAACAGGATTCCCATGAAACATAAAGACAAGTGTCCATTTGAACTCTTGAGAGGCAGAAAACCAAGTTTAAAATATTTTAAAGTGTGGGGCTGTCTTGCAAAAGTATTAGTCCCTGAACACAAAAGAAAGAAACTTGGGCCTAAAACTGTTGATGCTATTTTTATTGGTTATGTTGAACATTCTTATGCATTGAGATTTTTGGTTATTAAATCTGAAATTTCTGGCATAGATGTTAATACTATTATAGAACTTCGTGATGCTACTTTCTTTGAAAATGTTTTTCCAATGAAAACGGGTGTGCCCCAAAATATTTCTTTTAAAAATCAAGAAACCACATTTAATTCAATTCCTGATCAAGTGAAAAAGATGACAAATGTGGGGGTAGAATCTAGTAGTACTAGTCACGCTAGTTTTGAATCAAATGAACTAGATGAGCCCCGAAGGAGCAAACGGGCTAGGATCACTAAGGAATTTGGAAGTGATTTTATCACTTACAATATTGAGGGTGATCCAGTTTCCTTTAGAGATGCAATGGCTACATCTGAAGCCATGCATTGGAAGGATGCCATTAAAAGTGAAATGGACTCTATTGTTCAAAATGGAACATGGGAGCTCGTTGATCTTCCTCCGGGGTGCACTACTATTGGATGTAAATGGATTTTTAAGAAGAAATTAAAACCGGATGGAACCATTGATAAATATAAGGCCAGATTAGTTGCTAAGGGTTACAAACAAAAAGAAGGTATTGATTTTTTCGATACATATGCTCCGGTCGCAAGGATGACCACAATAAGAATGCTTATAGCATTGGCCTCCGTATATGATCTTAAAATTCATCAAATGGATGTTAAGACAGCTTTTCTTCATGGTGACCTTGAAGAAGAAATTTATATGGATCAACCTGAGGGATTTGTGGCAAAAGGCAATGAGAGAAAAGTTTGTAAATTAGTTAAGTCTTTATATGGACTTAAGCAAGCCCCTAAGCAATGGAACGAAAAATTTGATAAAATAATTTCTTCGTTTGGATTTACTCTTATAGATGCTGATCAAAGTGTTTATTATAAATGTAAAGCTGATATTAGTATTATTTTATGCCTATATGTTGATGATATATTATTATTTGGCACTAATGATAATATTATTTTTGAGACTAAGTCATTTTTGAAAACAAAGTTTGAAATGAAGGATATGGGGGTGGCTGAAGTAATTCTTGGGCTAAAGTTGACTAGATCAACTGAAGGCATTTCTATTTCTCAGTCGCATTATATTGAAAAAATAATTGAGAAATTTGGATTTAAAAATAGTAGAATTGCTAAAACACCCTATGATCCGTCAGTAGCTTTGTATAAAAATGAAAGTGGTATTCCTGTGTCTCAATTAAGATATTCTCAGATGATTGGTAGCTTGGGTTACTTAGCTAACTGTACTAGACCCGATATTGCATTTTCGGTGTCTAAGTTGAGCCGGTACACTTGTTGTCCAAACATGACTCATTGGGAGGCCTTAGATAGAGTATTTAGATACTTAAAAGGAACAATTTCCTTGTGTTTGCATTACGGTAAATATCCTCCTGTTCTTGAGGGATATAGTGATGCAAGCTGGATAGCTAAGAATTCCGGAAGTTATGGATGTACCGGCTATGTGTTTACGTTTGGTGGTGGGGCTGTTGCCTGGAAGTCCACTAAACAAACGATACTTTCTCGGTCCACTTTTGAGGCTGAATTATGTGCATTGGATACTACAGGAATTACGGCTGAATGGTTTATGGGACTAATATCTGAGTTACCTATATTCAGCAAATACCTTTCTTTGTTTGCATTGTGATAGTATGAGTACAATTGCAAAAATTAGGAGTACCAAGTATAATCAAAAGACTAGGAGACACATTCAAGTTAGATTAAAAACTATAAGGAAATTTGTGTCTCAAGGGGTATTTGCTGTTGATTTTGTTGGATCCAAAGATAATACAGCAGACCCTTTAACAAAAGGACTTGATTTAAATCAAGTCATAAAATCCAGGTTAGGAATGGGACTGAAACCCAGTAATTATTCAACTACGGTAGCAACCCAACCTATCTGAGTGGAGATCCCATAAAGTAGGTTCAATGTGGTATAAACAAACCGTAGTGTAAATTGTGCATCTCATTAAAATATTTTATGAGTTCTATTCCTTGATAAGCCTGAGAGATGCTGAACTTGCTAAGTAAGTAAGAGTTTAAGACTCTGAATGGGATCGAGCTTTAAAGCAGAGTGTTAGCAATGCACTCTTGGAGATGCCCAACTATGAGAATGTTATTGTGTGGCCGCAATTAGAGAATAAGGGTTAATTCTCGATAACATTCTTGAGACAGGTTCGGGACGCACGGCCGTAAAGCGTCAACCCTATAGATCGTTGCCATTGCCATTAGTGTGTTGCTTTTATCCTACTCCAACACTATCAAGGTTCGAGTTCAAGAACTTAGTTCACTCAGTTCCTGTGGGGGTTAGGGGTAAAAGCTTAGAAGTTGGTTCAAACCGGAAGGTACCATATTCGAAAGCACACTATGTCTTTTAGAGTTGAACTAACAACTATGGATTTGTGGGGGATTGTTGGAAATATGATGAAATATATAATTTTGAGGGTCTCGTTTTCGAACCCTATGACATCAATTGTGTAAAATATGAATTGGAGAAGGCTTAAATACATCAAAGAACAATTTACATATTTGGATATATTTCATTTAATGACTAGAATCCATAGTTGTAAAGTTGTTAAGTGATGTACTAATAAATTGAATGTAATTGTCCAATTAAAAAAATTAGTAGTCTCATCATGATTAATTAATTATTTGTATATGACAAGGAACATTATAGTGTTCAAGTTTCATATAAAGTGACATGATATATTTTTCCAAACATATACGTGAAAAGACGGATTATGATTGGTTTAATTATCACAAGTCAAGAGACTATTTAATTGGGTGGACAACAATTCTGTGGTTGCTATACACCTGCTTTGTTTTTATTTTTAATAATAAAAACTACCCGCCTAGTGGAACAAGTCATAGCTGATCCAAATGTTAAAATTGAATTTAAAATTCAATTTGATTAAGCCTGGTCAACTAATTGTTGAGGGATCCTAAAGACTTGGGATCGTGGCTTTTATTTCGGTTAGTTTGGCCGGCCACTTCTCTCCATTTTTCTTTTAAAACAAAATATATATCTGATTTCCAAATGAAGAATCCCACGGCACAAAACCAATTCTAGCGTACAAAAGCTCTTCATTCTTGCTCTTAGAAAACCACCCATACAAACAAAACTACGTGGGATACTCTCTGTATCTCCACTTTAAAAAATTCTTCCACTTCATTTTTTTTCTTTGAGCAGCCATAGTGACATAAGATACCGAGCATATCTATATGTACTATATTCTTCTCCTGTTGTGAGCTCTTCTCTAGTCAACGGCAATTCGGGCAACGGTTGAAGGTTTCAGTCAAGGTAGCTACAAGTCTGAAACGGTGTAGGATTATCCTGTGAGGGAGTTGGCCAGTCCCGTTCGAGTAGCTATCGAGATACGGGGGCTATCTTTCTTCAAGGCCAGTCCGGTCAACGGGCGATCTTACGCTAAGTTTTTCATCTTTTGCTTTTTCCATTATTTTATTTCTAATTATTATTATTTCTTTATCTGTTCTTGCATTTGGTGGTTTGTCTGGTGATTTGTGATTAAACTCGGGATTTTATCTGACTAAACTCGCTTTATTAATACTATTTTTCTAACAAAAGAGGCGTAAGTTGATGGGTCTTCTCAATTAGGTCACCGAAGGATAAAGAGTGCTCCGGAATGGGTAAAGGTGCTCTGAAGCCCCCCTGTAGTGAACGAAAACGCCTTACCCTCTGAGCCGGAAACCATGCGGGTGAGACACATAAATGACGCAGTGAAAATAGAAGAGAAGGAGGGTCGAAGGAAAAAAAGAGAAAAAGAAAAAGTCTAAAAAATTACACGTGGACAACCAAGTCACTATGGTAACCGGTTAACCGGATCGCACGGGCTAAAGTACAAATTTGATTTTTTTTGTAAAGTTCGTGTACTAAATTGGGTGTTTTTTATTCGACGGGTTTGTTTGACTTAAGACTTATTTGACAGTTTTTTCAATAATTTTTAATATAGTTTATAGGGAAAACGTAACTCTCATGTCTTGCAAAATTTTGTCACATTTTTTTATTTCACTAGTCAAAAAACATTTTTATTACTCTCTCTGCTACGGTAGCTCCTCTCATAAAATAACAAGCGAGAAGCTACCATAGTTGAGTCACAACTTCTCCCAAGCTTGACGCATCATAGGCGCCAATGTGATTAGAGGTTGAATTGGGAGAGAACTAGTGCCAATAATAAAAAAAAGGATGACACCCCATCCCTAAGGCCCCCCAACCCCGACCCGACAGTACGTTGGGAGG